CACTCCGGCAGAGTCTGAAAGAACGGAGTCAACCACGATGGTTTCAGTGACAAGCTTGAAGAAAGGGGATAGAAGACAACTATGGCGAACCCCACTTGTCGTGAGGAACTCGAGAGACAGTTTCCCCTAGATCCTTACATGGCATCGGTAGTCATATTAGCCTGCATAATGGAAAGGAATTTATCCGGTACACTTCATAAATAAGCAGTGCCACAAGATGGCGCGGTCAACGGGGTCGAAGGCAGCTTTCAAGTCAAGGAAAGCCACCACAGTCCGTTGCCTATCGGTGTGTCTCTGCTCTAACACGGCGAAAAGTAAATGTGACTGATACCACCACGACCAAGGCGGAAGCCAACCTGGCTTTCATTGATTCGGTTCTCACGGAACCAGTAACTCGTCGGAGAATCATGTCCGTGGGGCGCTTGAATGCAATCCAAACAATGCCTCCATGATTTCCGCACAAAGTACGCTGACTCTTCTTGAAGATAGGCATGACAGTGGCCAGTCTGAAGGTACCTCTTCATTGTTCCAAATCGTGTTAACTAGCGTAACGAGTCCAGTCAATGAAAGGTAACTGCCATCTTTCGGCACAGATGTAGGAAGGTCGTCGGGTCCGGGAGTCTCGTTTTGCTTCAACACGGAAAGCTCATGTCGAATCTCTTCCAATGTTATAGGTGTGACATCTACTTCCCACGTCGACTCGGACGATTCGGCAAGCGGCAGTTTGGCAACAGGCCTGCAAATCTGCTTTTCAAAATGTGTCCCGCCCAGCGGACTAGTCGATAACTCTGAGATTGGATCGACAGTCCGTCTTAGCTGTTGTCTTGCTAACTGATGGTTATCTCGGACCGGTTTTCCGGATGAGCTGGAATAGCACGGCTGTTCCCAAGTCGCCTTCACCTATAGCGGGACGATGAGTGACACTCACATTACCCTCAATTCCATCCACACACATCATATCCAGTGTAAAATCGATTGGATAAGACCGAAAATCTCGTAGATAGGAACCGTGATTAAATTTTGTCGACCCATACTCTTACGGCATACACATCATGCAAAATTGGGGGAAACATGCATGTCAGTCATGCACGGGGAAGTGTTTAGACCATTACAAATTGGATAGAATCACTGATTGAGCCTTTCGCTGTCATGGAGTCTGCACCCGTTTCCTCCCCCCCCCCTTCTAGCAACCAACAGTAGTCTTCTAGAGCCAGCCATCCCGATGGCTACCATAGGCCGGTAAGTAGCACGTCAACATTTGCATCTATCGTTACCATCTGTTGGACAACAGCTAGTAACCGCTGTCAAGCATGTGAAAACGCACGAGCACAATTAGAACCCAACTGCGGTGACAACACATCACTTGTGCCGTCTTCTGCATCATCGACCCGGCTTAGTAGGCGGAACAAGTGGCTACGTTTATTTGATGCTTTGACACTTACCTGTTCAACTTATCTATTGCCTCCTCCATGTAGGCTCCTCGTAGCCATCTTGTTGACTTGCCAGACCGCATATGCTACGACGCCAGATACATATTGTCTACGTACTGAAATCCATTGAAATCTGTCACTTGCGTATCTGGCATTATTTTTCTCTTTGTACAACATTAATTTCTGATGCATCTGAGCGACAGCATTCTTGATATGATCACAATTGGCGCCGCTGTAATACTGCTAGGAGGGTACGTTTTCTCAACCGCAAACCAGCGGAGCACGCGAATTACGTTCACTCTACCAGCTGCGCCGAAAACCCGAACGAGCTGAGCCTAAGCTCAATCCGGCTTATGCCTAACGCACCGGGAGGATTTCGATCAACAAACCAGTGTTGATTTGTCATCAGGACCGGTGATCGGACTCGCATTCGGCTAGTGCAGGCTGTACAGTGGGAATACTTCACCCTCGTTGATCCACGTTCTTTTCTCAGAACAAACTCCGGTTTTTCGCATACTCGCCCTACTCGTTCTTCGTTGTTGGGGATTGGCCTCAACTTTACTCTAGCAGTGTCCGACGCAACAACTGCCATCCGTTTTCAGCACCTAAACTCAACATTACTTCACGCTACGTTCACCTTGATTGGGTCTGATAGCGCAGCGTCAATGTGACAGCACTCCGGTTTTCTACACGCAATTGGATATGCAGTAAATGTTTCTGTGTTCTCACTACCACCATGCCGCGCGCATCTTCGATCCGCCTCACCGTAGCAGGAGCGGCATGCAGTCTATCCCGTACATACCGCTCGGGCAAATCACTTTTACACCAACGGATACGGTTAAAAGACTGGATACCGTCCTTGTGTAGCGTCCACGTCTTAGTGCTCTAGGAAAGAACGGCGATGGCTATTGATTTTTACATCACCCGCTTGCCGTACTGGTCAGCTGATGATGTCCTAATTTGCTGAAGTCCACACTCCGATACACAAGTGCATAGCTCGCAGATTATCCACGTCTACTAACAGCCTGGTCCCAAGATCATAATCTCCATCAACAGCACTACATCAGCGGTTTGAACTAATGCTTCACTATTGTGTTTGTGGCAGGTGCGGATTTAACCCGCGTCGAAGCGAGAGCTTTCATTATGCACTGCAGCTCATTCTCACTGCTTACAAATAACGCACCATGGTTTGTAAATAGTATAAGGAAGATAGTCTCACACACTTGGCATCTCACCTCGAGACGACGGACGTCCAGCAATCCACCATCACTGCGATGCGCAAGACGGACACCGTATTCGCATGCATTTATACAAACTACATAATGGCTGTTAGATAGATATCTTACAATGTAAGGGCTATCACACAACCTTGCTTTATACCAGAGACAACATCAAACTCAGCTGAATTTTGTCAACCCAGCTGCAATTGTGCTCACACACCAGCCACATATATTTACCAGCGCACCCAAACTTGCCCCCCATCACCATCAGCACAGCATTCGCGGCTCACCGAATCAGCAATTATAAGTGATGGTTTTGTTTTCCCTACAGTCAACGAACAGGGCACCCTACATTAATTGTATTGAAGCCTGAACTATGGCGTACTGCTCTTCGGTCACGTTTGGTTTCAACAGGTGAGCGGCTGAATGTTTGAGCAAGATCCATTCAATCGCCTTTCATAGCAACCTAGGAATTTGATGCCACGATAATTGTCGTCACATTAGTGTTTACTTTACTCTTATATACTGATAACACAATGGATCGGCAGACTCCTTCTATTCATTCCGAGCGCATCACTAAACAATGAAGTAGATGGATGTCCTCCTGCTTAAAATCGTTAAAAAAATAAGGCACGGGGCTTGCAGATTGTCAGATCCCGCCCAGTCTACAGCCAGGCATGTGTCTGGTCACGTGGACCCCCACCTGGGAGATTGATCATACCAACAGCTGCCAGCTTAGCCATCATCTTTATTTCTAGCGTCAAGTCAACGTTCTATCCCTCCCGTGTCTTGCACTCGAGCATGTAAACAAGGTCATGTCATGGAAACATTATAGTGTTGCTCACCTCAACACTGGCACCTCAAAGTCCAACTTTGAAGATCATGTCATGTATTTGCTAATTGAGAGCACGTAGAATGTGCTCAAGCCAACAGAACTCATTCGATGTTGTTCGTTGCTCTAAGAAATTCGCTCGACCATCGCTGCCTCGTACTCGCTCGTGGTTCTCATCGTCACGAACTTGCTAGTGCACCCGACGCCAGTATTGCTGCACAGACAAGAATTAGAGCAAAGGCATTTCTGCTGGAATGCGCCGAGTCCTTTTTCATTCGGACAAACCGATCTCACTATGTTTCGGCATGCGCTCCCTTTCAGAACCATCAGGATCCCTTTCAAACACTGCAGGTGTCGCATACCCAAAATTGCATTTCTTGTTTGCGCAATATATGATGTAGTTTCAACAAACATGCGCTTATCCGTGCTGATACAGTCGCCATGGTTTACCCGTAGATTAAATACCTCCAGTCCCGCGTTGTCAGGGTCTAAGAGGTTATCAGTTGTTTGAGGATCCTGCAACCACACCTTACATTTGGTTGACGCGACGCGCATGCCGAGAGTTTTTTTGCCTTTGTGGTTTGTGGGTTATTCTCAACAGTCATACGCCCGTCGCTACAAGTATGGTGACAAACAAAGTCCATCAGGAGTCTGACACACAAGACTGGTGAGCAAGTCCAGGTCGGAAATGATTTTAGAATCCTTATCACACGCAGTCTTTGAAGAGTTAGAACGATTCACATATTTTCCGACCGCATTGTATCACGCACCTGCTGCTGCAACTAACCGTAGATGAGCGTTGGTACGTTTGAACCTTTTTCCTATCTGGCTTCAGGTGGGTGCCAACAAACCACTGAGCACCGGGTGGTGTTGCACGCCATTGGAGACAACGCATAGCCCTCCTACTGCACGCCAATCATGCTGAGCTTATAACAACCTGTCATCGATGGTTTAGTCTTGAAGGAAGAGAGTTATTGGCCTCTTCCTAAACATCACAAGAGATGGTGCAAAAAGTGAATTGTTCTGACCCCTAGCCATTAAACTGCTGGCTAGTATGAGGGTGGTTCTAAAGGCACTTTAATCCTGCCATCTAGGCTAACTCGATGGGTCGCTGAAGTGCACAGACCGTTAGATTAAGTCAAGATTCAGTTTTATCACCATGCCTCATGAGTTCGTGAAACCAGTTGTACAGATCAGTTTGGATGGTCTTCGATAATCGCCCACCATTCTTGCTTTCTACATATACTCAGCTCTTTGTGCAAGGCTTTTCAGTCCGGTACTATGTTTTGCTTTGTTTCTGTGCTAGACCGTCAGTTTGTTCATCTGGTTTCTCTGCAGGTCTACGATGCTGTAATCTAAATAATCCGCCAAATTACCTATGTTGCATCGGTTCATTGCTTCAATCGAGGTGGCTTTGCGCGCTTAATTATCCCTGGCTTGACTATAACTATTTAACCTTTCTAGTTTGGAATTTAGATCGATTTACTCTCCTAGTGCACTTATTCTCTCTAATCCTAGACGGAATCACCGGGATCGCAGCTGTCGGTGGGGCGATTTTGGCAGGCGTAGCGGTGCTGGGCATCGGGCTCGGCATTGGACTTGCAAGGCGGAAATGAACTGATCAACTTATTCCTTCCGCTCAACACTATCGGTTTCACAGCATATGACGTCCACTGCACATATTTTTTCACGGAACACCCTTTTTCATGACGTTGTGAGAACAAGATTAGTTGAGGCTGCTGTATCCGACCTGCTCATTTTTTCTCTGATTCATTTTTTATTGTGGTTTTAACTTCTACTTAATGCTGTTTTCATTACCTCCTCCTCTCCCATCAATAACATGTCACGGTTGAAATCAGCTCTTTAGTGACAACTTAAGACTTGTTGGGTTGGTGACAAGGGATTATGAACGCAATGACAGAGAACTCTTTTTGCAAACACCTGGATCTGGGATGACCTTCTTTACAGTCGTTGTCTAACCTCGTCTATACTATCTGCTTTTTGGTGAAATAACCTCATTATGAAGCACCTGGCATCTGGTCATATCCACAGCTAAGAGTGGAGCGTCATACTTAGGCCAATTTATGCCTAATCTCTTCTCTTCAACTAAGACGTTCAAGCGTCCGCGTCTGCCACTTCCGTTGACATCGTGATTTTTGTATCGTCTGTCTCGGTTGGCTGAACAATTCCGCTTACTATTTAAAGCTGTCGATTGTGCCAACCAATTATCCACATCACTATTATCATAAACACTTTGGCGCTTGTGCTGGTGTTTCGCTGACACAATCATAATTACCGTACTAACGAGGAAGAAAACAAGAGGGACTCGATGTGAAGTTCAAAAACTGTATGCAGACATGCAGGTTCAAGTCACTGACGCTTTACCAATCCTACACAACATGATACAGCTAACTACCGTGGGAGACTAACACGACATCGTTGAGACATCCTTCTTACCGTTTTCACTGTCCTACGTCATAATGGACGTACATCATAGATACCTCGCCACCAGACACTTCTGTGTTTGGCAGGCTGGCCACTAATGCTGGTATTGAACCATACCTTATGAGGTCTCATGTTCAGTACACTAACATGGCTGCAAAGTGGACCAAAATCACCTGGTTTACTAGTCAGCGGCTTCATTTCGAATTGCAACATCAACCTTTGTTCCCTCCCCCTTAAACTTGCACCTTCCTGAATAAGGCAAACAAAGCCCCTCTGTAAGCAGAGTTGGGATTCTCGGAACCCAGTTTGAATATGCGCAGTCTGCCCATTGTTGCTCGTTTATCTACGGAACTAACTTGGTCATTCCCGCCTAGTAATTACCTGTGCATATCACTGATGTCGACACGTTGCAATGGGTGTTTGAAATTTTCCTATCCGAAGAGTCAACTCTCGCTGTAATAACGGATAACGGTACTCACTTGACGCTGTATGTATAATTTGGAACAATAGTGATCTATTCTGGAACCAGAATCTGTTCCATTTCATAAAGCAGTTGTGGCTTTCACGATGCCTGAACTGACTTCCCCGCTATGGCAGGTCGTCACCAACCGGTTAGTGTTCCTGCAGCAGCACTTTTCACCTAGAAGGTACAGACTGCATGCCAGCGTTAACGGTGTGCATCGCCATCGTCAACCATCAAAACATCTCTACGAAGTGTAAATCAACAAGTGTTTTACCGGGTAATCCCCGAGTACCAAAACAGTGCACTTATTGGGTGTATTTATGACAAGTGAACAGCAGTGAAATGGATCAACACTAGGCATACACTGAAGAACGCCACTTGTTGTCAAGTGGGACTCTGATAACTCTCCTTAGACCCTGACATACCTTGTTATGTTTGGGCATAGAACACGTGGAGCGTTCTTACATCTAACGGAAACCACTTCCCGTGTAAGTGCATCTGACATCGTTCCGACCGAGTCGAACATCTCCAATAACCGATAAACACGGTTACGATCAGTGTACAGCGCATCTAATGCTCAATTGGTGTGTCACAAGATATCTATGTGGCTTCTACTTTCTCGTGCCTATCGCAGACTTTTTTAATCCAATCTGGGGTTCTTGTCCTGCAGTGAGACGAACAAATATGGTGTAACTTGGTGATTGCCTATATCAGCCTAATGCTGCTGTCATAATGCCAAATACCTCTTAAACATTACCCCGGTGATTGATTAGTGCTATTTATCTTGGACAGTTGCTCCCTCCACACTTTTTTAAGAATACGGGTGTGGACCTCAACACCATCCTTCGATAGGACGCGCATACGATATCTCAGACTATGATGGAACTCTTAATACCTAGTCAAGAAATGGCTAAGGCAGGATGCTAGTTGGACCTCTGCAATTGATGTCTAGTAGAATGGGGTCTCCAATACTCCCAGCACCTGGCTTGATAGGTAGTTTCCTGGGGCTAGTGGAGCAGATAAACTGATGGCATGCGTAGTTGCCCGTCGCTCTTTGCTCCTCTATTTCCTGCGCCTTCTGGGTTTATCAAATCATCAGTTTCCGAGATTCATTTTGACTCGTTCCTGACAGCTTAGCTAATCTCGTTCTACGTATCAGTGGACATTCCTCCCGAATTTCCACTGGTTCATTGACGGAAGGTTGGATATGCAGTGTTCCGTGCGGTTACGAATAGGAATACCACAAGCAGAACCCCTGCACTATGCGTTAAGGTTGAAATCCCATTCCGCTGCAGCTCGCATATCTATTAGTCGGAAGTTTTGTATTTAGAGGACATGTTTGTGTCTAAATAAATTTCTGTTTCCCAGTTGACGAGAACTTGTACTGCGTTTCCCGGTAAACTCGGTAGCAATGCGGAACATGATCGGTTGCTTCACGTGTTTCAACATGAATGACAGTTAAGGATGATGCAGCACACATTAAGCTTGTAGAGGTCTGACCTAATTAGTTTTATCAATGAGACTGAGAGACTGAGACTGTACTTAAGAGCAAGTAGAAAGGTTTCTGTACAACTCTATCGAATTACGAAAAATCAAAATTTACTTGTGAATTATCAGCAGTTGTGTCTGGTCCGTTAATCGTTTATCCGTGTTCGGTTAGCAATTTGTACTAGCGTCATTATTTCCGGACACTGTATGTGCATCGTTTCACAAAAGCACAGGTTTCCAAAATAATCGTCGATACGGGTTTTAAAACACTTCACAGAATCGGCCTCTATTAATTCTTCAGGTAGTGTATTCCATAAGTTTACGATTCTTCGTTCGATACAAAGCTGATGTGATACTTTGTTCATGCTGGGGACTCTGAGTTTGTAACGATGTCCTCGGGTGTTAGATGGTTCTCGCAGGTGAAATATTGGCCGCAGTATGGGGAAGTGATTCAAGTGTAGTACTCGATGGGTCATAATAAGATCAATTCTTACTCGGCGATAGGATAGTGTGTAGAGTCCGAGCCTTTCACAACGTTTTTCATACGGAAGCTTTCGTATACTTGATATCATTCTAGTTGCGATATGCTGTATTTTCTCCAGTTTTTCAGTTTCCCATTGGGTTATCGGATGGTAAGCTGGGGCACCGTATTCAAGGATTGGTCTAATGAGCGAGGTGAATAGACCACAGACCATGTGGAGAAACTGCGTATTAATGCCCAGAGCATATGAAGTCCCGCACGGTTCCATTTCTCTGTATTTTCTAGTGATCTTAAATCATGTCGTGAGAGAACTCCTAAGTCTCTGCCAGATGTGTTGGGATAGAGCAACTGGCCGTCCAGGGTGTATGATCGAGTGGCTGGATGTCTGGTGATACTGATGAACTCCGACTTGCTTGCGTTAAGAGGGTGTTACATTTCAGTGGACCACGTTGACAGTCGCTCTAAGTCATGCTGGAGGCGAGCGCAGTCGTCCTGGTTTTCAATGATCCTCCAGATTTTCAAATCATCTGCAAACAGGGCACATGGTGACTGGAGCTGCTGCGGAAGATCGTTGCTATGAATAAGAAATAATACTGGCCCAAATACAGTTCCTTGAGGCGCGCCATTGGTCGATGGGAACCATTCTGTCAGATAGTCATTGACCTGTACTCTAAACCTTCGTCCCACAATAAACTCTTGTATCCACTGAAGTAACGTGCCACCGATTCCGTATGTCCTCAGTTTACGAAGGAGTACCTCGTGGTTCACTCTGTCAAACGCCTTATTAAAGTCGATGTACACCACGTCAACATCCTTCTGTTCATTGAGAGCTCGAACCCACTGGTGGTTTGCGTACATCAAGTTGGTGATGCAGGATCGCCCTTTCGTAAAGCCGTGTTGCGCTGGCGTCAATACGTCCATCGATTCGAAGAACGACAGCAGACACTTTTTCACAACCTTCTCGAGAACTTTGGATAATACCGAAGTCAAACAGATCGGTCTATAGTTCTCTATTTTACTCGGATCACCACCCTTGGGAAGCGGTTTAACTATCGAGCATTTCCAGTCGTTCGGGACCGATCTTTCAGAGAGTGATTTATTGAAAAGATTTGTCACAGCTGGTGAGATGGTAATCGATAGGGACTTGAGTATTATTGGGTGAAGTCCGTCTGGTCCGGGGGGCTTTGCACCATTGAGGTTGACGAGTAGCTGATGTACTTCGACTGCATTACATTGTAGGCTGTCGAGCAAGACTTGCGCAACCTGTGCCGGTACTGGAACAGCCGCCGGTTTACTAGAAAATACAGTGAGGAAGTGCGTAGCCAGGGCGTCCGCGCGCTCCGCGCTTGAAATGAGTGTCTTCCCGTCTAAGCTCTCTAAGACCGGTAGGTCGTTCCCAGGTTTCAGTTGACGTTTCAAGTAGGCAAATATTCGCTTGGGTGCAGTTGTGTGCCGACTTTTCTTGATCTTTGCGGCGTTACATAAGTTACGCTGTTTCTTGTACACCGTGTAATCTTCATCACAACCCGAGCTGATGTATCTATCCCAAAGTTTACGACGTCGTCGCGCTAACTGTCTGTATTCCCTATCAAACCGATGCGGTTTGACAGGTCCGATTTTTGGATACTTAAGGGGAACGTACCGAGTACAGAGCGAGTTAAGCTTCCCCTTTATTAATGACCACCAGGCCTCAATGGTTAGTTGTCCATATCACTTACGTAGGCCGTTTAAGTTTTTGT